CATAGCAAAAACCGTCCCTGCGAACGGTCCCTAACTGCGGGGAGAACAGAGCAGGCTTTCCCATTGGTCCGCCGCTTTTCCTGGTCCGTCTCCTCCACACTTTGGGCTCTAGTTTCCCGGCGCAGCGCAGGGTGGCGCAGGGTGGCAAACCCCGCGCAGAGCTAGTTTCGAGCAGCGCAACCCGAGGCGCGCTCAGTTTGGTAGTTTGGCAGACCGAGGTGCGCTGAAATGGGTGAGAAGACGCAGCAGGAGGAAGTGTTGACAGATCCAACTTGGCGCAGTGACAGTTTTGTGCCAAAAGGCTTCGCCGAAGGTGCGCTAAAAGCTCGCCAGCTGAAACCAAGTCTACTGTCAGCGCAGGCGGAGCGCAGCCGGTGTAAGCCGAAGTTTGGCTGACCGGCAGACAGTGCGCACACGTCACCAAAACCTCACAGGCAGGTTTCCAGAATATCAGGCACATTAACAATGCAATAAATACCCAAAAAAACACTATTCAATGCAACTACCTGCAATCAGCACATAAATGTATCTCTATATCGACTGTCCCATCACATCTGATGTCAGATCAAAGGGGATTGGCACCGTTTGGCACGTTTGGCACGCGTAATGGAAACCCAACCTGATTTGATTAACACAGCTGCAAACTAATGAGTTCACATCCCTCTCAGCCAACCACAAACAGCCACAGCATCAGATAGGGAGTATATATTCAGCGTCTGTCATCTTAGAAAAGTCAAAAGAAAAGAAACAGAGTGAGACTGCGAGAGAGAAAGAGAGAGCGCGCGCGCACGAGAGAAATGCAACATTGATTTACAATTGTGGTGACCTCCTCCCAGGCTACTTTTGCATCATCAGCCCGTGGAGGTCTGCTTGCAGTTCCGTATATTTGGACACTGCGAGCAGACCTCCCGGACCAAAACATCAGTTTCCTCCTGGGAGAAGTTTGGCCGTCTGACGCTGCTGCTCTCTTCTGCCATGGCGAATTGAGTAAACTCTCATTACGCCTTCATGCGGCGCATTTAAGGGCGAGGAGAGGGGCTCATTTGATTGGTGTGATGTGAATGGGCTGTATAAAACCCACACCACACCTTCTCTCCTCCCTCCGGACGGAGGTGGGATATAGGAGTAGCTGCGCCAGGGTGCACGGTGTGCCAAACTTACAAAATCCGCCTGGCCACACCCAGTTGGTGAAGCGCAGGTGCACTGCGCCTCCGTCGCACCCGGTCTGCGAAACTAGAGCCCTTTGACTTATTTCCACGCTGCCGACAGTGGGACTTATATTCACTGTGCCGACAGTGGCTTGGAAAACCGCCCAAAACTGTGTCACACGGGGAAGAGGGAAGAGGGAAGGCGGCTGGAGTTCCTCCAACATTTGCGGTTAGATTATCATATTTTTTTTATTGACAAAAATATAGGCTGCTTTGGCTGATTTTTTTTATGCGCACATGTGCCCCTAAATATTTTTTACAGTTTGCACACACCTATTTTTAGTCGCAAATGCAAGTGAAACGCTCGCACTGTCAAGCCCTGTGACCCCAGTTTATAATTAGCACAGTGGTCCAATAAACTAAACAAAGACAATTTAGTTTTATAGACAATTTATTTCTATACTTTCTCTCCACCAACCTGCAGCAGATCAGATAATGGACAAAAGTAACCATTTACCCCTACACTTTGACACATAAAGGTTGTATCTATTACTGAAAAACTACCATTTTATTGACACCTAAATTAAAACCATGCTCCTCTTTCAAAACCAAAGAATCGATACCACTCATACAGCTTGGTGGCAGACCAACATACACCTCAGTATACCATTTTCTCTCTCATTCTCATTCTCATTCTATCACCATTTCTCTGGAACCGACATGGCATCACACAACTGCAGCATGTCTTTAAGGATGGCTGCTTCATGACCTTCAACTGATTACAGGAACACTACAATAAAACCTTTCCAATCTAGAAAATTGCCTTCTCAAATGTACAGACTCCTGTACTTGATGCATTCCTCCATTGTAACATTGACCTCCAACTGAATTAGAACCAGCCTTCCTTGGCAAACTACATGTAAAACATATGTTATGTCATATTATAAATTATTTAGTATAAGTCACTTCCATATTTATATATGCGTATTAAATTAAACACAGTATTCAAGAACTTGCAAGAAAAACAACAACATATGAATAGGAATGTTAATTGGCCAACATTGGGAAACAAGTCCAATTTGAAATTCATTTATTGAACAACCAGGCTTAAAGGTTAACATTTGAAAAATTAGCAAACTTTCTGTTGCTGCCATTATATAGCTTAGACCCAACACTGAAGAACTGCCCCCCAGCCGCTCTCCTCCTGGTAAGTTAGAAGTCTGCCCAGTTAGCACAAGCTAACACAGCAGTAGCGACTCACATCCAACACCAAGCTGTTAAATGGTCCCAGGAAACTCACACCAACACCATACCTGTTCAGCTCTGTCGTTAAACCCCTTAATACATGTTAGGTAACGTTAGCTGTGTGATGTTAACAGGGTGAGAGCAACAGCAGAGCAACGAGGCACTAAGCAAAGCAATACACTGCATGCAGCTCTATACTGAAACACACTTTTACCTAATTTAAATAGTAAAAAAAATAGAACTATGTTCAAATGTGAGAAGTTGGGCAGTGATTACTCTATAAGGTGAGCCAATACTGAAGTCCACATCTCATGCCCATCCCTAATAAAATCCTACATAATTTCATATCAAGAAATACAAACTACGGCTTAATGTATACACAGAATCAGATAAATGCATGTTATGCCCAAATAAGTGTGTAGTGTAGCGGTAGTTGATGAGGTGCGTGGACTACTGGATAGATGGGCAGGTCACCAAAGAGTAGGTGGGTATACTCTCCTATATATTCCAATGGCTTTTTGGCTTAAAGGTGGGTAATGTAAATAGCCACAAAAAGAGGTGGGTATAACCCACATACAGTACAGGCCAAAAGTTTGGACACACCTTCTCATTCAATGCGTTTTCTTTATGTTCATGACTATTTACATTGTAGATTCTCACTGAAGGCATCAAAACTATGAATGAACACATGTGGAGTTATGTACTTAACAAAAAAAGGTGAAATAACTGAAAACATGTTTTATATTCTAGTTTCTTCAAAATAGCCACCCTTTGCTCTGATTACTGCTTTGCACACTCTTGGCATTCTCTCCATGAGCTTCAAGAGGTAGTCACCTGAAATGGTTTCCACTTCACAGGTGTGCCTTATCAGGGTTAATTAGTGGAATTTCTTGCTTTATCAATGGGGTTGGGACCATCAGTTGTGTTGTGCAGAAGTCAGGTTAATACACAGCCGACAGCCCTATTGGACAACTGTTAAAATTCATATTATGGCAAGAACCAATCAGCTAACTAAAGAAAAACGAGTGGCCATCATTACTTTAAGAAATGAAGGTCAGTCAGTCCGGAAAATTGCAAAAACTTTAAATGTGTCCCCAAGTGGAGTCGCAAAAACCATCAAGTGCTACAACGAAACTGGCACACATGAGGACCGACCCAGGAAAGGAAGACCAAGAGTCACCTCTGCTTCTGAGGATAAGTTCATCCGAGTCACCAGCCTCAGAAATGGCAAGTTAACAGCAGCTCAGATCAGAGACCAGATGAATGCCACACAGAGTTCTAGCAGCAGACCCATCTCTAGAACAACTGTTAAGAGGAGACTGCGCGAATCAGGCCTTCATGGTCAAATAGCTGCTAGGAAACCACTGCTAAGGAGAGGCAACAAGCAGAAGAGATTTGTTTGGGCCAAGAAACACAAGGAATGGACATTAGACCAGTGGAAATCTGTGCTTTGGTCTGATGAGTCCAAATTTGAGATCTTTGGTTCCAACCGCCGTGTCTTTGTGAGACGCAGAAAAGGTGAACGGATGGATTCCACATGCCTGGTTCCCACTGTGAAGCATGGAGGAGGAGGTGTGATGGTGTGGGGGTGTTTTGCTGGTGACACTGTTGGGGATTTATTCAAAATTGAAGGCACACTGAACCAGCATGGCTACCACAGCATCCTGCAGCGACATGCCATCCCATCCGGTTTGCGTTTAGTTGGACGATCATTTATTTTTCAACAGGACAATGACCCCAAACACACCTCCAGGCTGTGTAAGGGCTATTTGACCAAGAAGGAGAGTGATGGAGTGCTGCGGCAGATGACCTGGCCTCCACAGTCACCGGACCTGAACCCAATCGAGATGGTTTGGGGTGAGCTGGACCGCAGAGTGAAGGCAAAGGGGCCAACAAGTGCTAAACACCTCTGGGAACTCCTTCAAGACTGTTGGAAAACCATTTCAGGTGACTACCTCTTGAAGCTCATGGAGAGAATGCCAAGAGTGTGCAAAGCAGTAATCAGAGCAAAGGGTGGCTATTTTGAAGAAACTAGAATATAAAACATGTTTTCAGTTATTTCACCTTTTTTTGTTAAGTACATAACTCCACATGTGTTCATTCATAGTTTTGATGCCTTCAGTGAGAATCTACAATGTAAATAGTCATGAAAACAAAGAAAACGCATTGAATGAGAAGGTGTGTCCAAACTTTTGGCCTGTACTGTACCTGCATATACCCTCCACTACACCTCTGTCTATATATCCTCCAACAACTCAGTCTAAAATGCTAATTTACACACTCCTTCAGTTATATTCTTGGCTGCACAACTCCACCATTACATATGTGCACTTACCCTCTACAACAGTGCACCCTCTACACACTCACCACTCCACAGTTACCACCACACATTAAATTTAAGTTTCTACTATTAACTTTAAGCTAATACTTTCTTCAACTGGCATTAAATCAACGTTTCACTAGTGAAGCTTACACTGTAATTACCATCTATTCACTTTGGAGCTGAAATTTTCCATTTATTGCATTTGTGTTATCTTGCAGCCCCTGTGGTAGTTTCCACACTCCTGTGTGGGTATGTGTTTGACAGTATGGTGCACCCTACAGTACCTGTTTGGTCCTCTCCCGCAGCTCTTTATCTTCATAATGGGGATGGTTGGTGAGAACTCTGCCTGTGCACAGCTTGATGCCAGCCAGCAGCTGCATGCTGCCTGCAAATACAGCCCGCTTAGGGGTCTTTGTGCTGTGGACAAACAGAAAAAAGGGAGAGAGAGGGACACATCATTCACTGTTGTGAATATATAGATAGTATAAACAATAACAAGTCTTTTGGTGAACCACAGAATGTTGAGGTTTGGCATGAATGAGGTTAAAACAAGTGAAGAGAGAAAAGGAAAAAGAAAAAATCAACCGCAAAAAGATGTTGTGTGGTTTAAAGGAGATGAAAAAGTTTTGAGGGTATTCACAGGTGCATCCAGTCATCAGAAAAGTTTGATTGAATTTTGCTTTAGTTTATTTTCTAGCTTTGTTATTCAGTCCACATTCTTTTGCTTTCTGCATTTGCAGCAATAATTGGGACATATTGATGGCATTTAAAAGTTTCTTTCAGAGATGTGGCTTCAAGGACGGAGGCTATCTATATCAGGACCAAATACAAAAACATTCTTTGTACAGACAAATTAAATCACAAAGTGATGACAAAAGCTGTGCAGTTACTGTAGAACAGAACAGACTGCAGGCACAAGGACAAACCATGGGAGGCTTTGGCGTGTTAACAAGTTTTACGACAACTTGGCGTGTATGTGTGTGAAAGTTAATCAGTGTGTGTTAACCAAACTTGACCTTACCTGGCCTCTATTATGACAACACACACGCACACACTTACACACACACATATTTTACTTGTACTGTTAACCTGGAGGTCAACTTTAATCTAAACTCATATCTACACAGAGAACAGAGCTACAATTGACAAAGCTTTTTTTTTTTTTTTTTTTTTTTTAAATCAAGCAGCTGATTAGACAAATCAATCCAGTGTGGCTTTACAGGATTTACCTTACCTGTCTGTGAAAGCGACAGAGCCTACCTTATCCTACAGCTATGCTAGCTGTTCTGTGAGGCTATGCTTTGCAACCCAATTGCCACAATAAATGTTGCCGTTTATGCAAACCAAAGGTACGCTGAAGGAACAGTTCATCCCAAAATCAAATATGAATATTTTTGCTCTTACCTGTGGTGCTATTTATCAATCTAGATTGTTTTGGTGTGAGTTGCCCAGTGTTAGAGATTTTGGCCTTGGAGATGTCTGCTTTCTCTCCAATGTAACAGAACTAGATGGCACTCTGCTTGTGGTGCTCAAAGTGCCAAAAAATATACAATTGAAAAACTCAACAGTAATGTCTCTGTCCAGAAATCAGGTCATTGGGAAGTGGAGCTTCTATCCCCAATCATAAGCTAAGCCTATACATGCACGCAGGAACATCATCATAGATATAAATGCCCTGGTTACAGGCTGGTTTCACAGAAATGCTATGCATAGGTTGCTGTACATATCGTATTCTCTCTCTCTCTCTCTCTCTCTCTCTCTCTCTCTCTCTCTCTCCGTACGTGTGTGTGTCACAATAATGACTAGCCACAAGCCTTATATGACAAATAAAGACATTTGCTTGAGTGGATGTGCACATATGCACTCCGCACTCTCAGGCGGATGTGTGGGTTGATGTCTTGGCCTCCTGACCTGTAGCAGAAGTGGATTATTTCCATTTCTGCCTGTCTTCTTTCTTTGAATGTGTGAATTTAATCGTTCACTGCATCCCAGAGAGTAGCTTCCATTCCCTTGAAGTTTATTTACATTTAAGTTCACATTTATATTCTTATGTGATAATGCCACAAGGCACTGGTCTGCACCCGATTGACATTAGAAAAATGAAATTATGACATTAATTGAGTATTGAGTGTACAGGGCCAGAGGAGACTCACTATGGTGCTTTAGCACTGATACTGGCTTGTTTGTATTTTCTCTTTGTCTATGGGTCAGTGCTTTCAGGTTCATGCACTTGCATTTTTAAGTGTTAATTAGCACCTGCTGCTTGACTTCAGAGGGCACCATTAAGACAGAGAAACAAAATGAAAAAAGAAGAAAAAGATACAGGGAGTGGGCAGCACATCCCATATATTACTTTTATAATACGATGCAACACCTTAAACCACTCGCCAGAATAAATGTTGGCATTGTACATTTCTGCAAACCATGGATATGTAACATTTGTGTATTATTATGTTGTGGATATGTTTGAAGTTTGGGTTTCCTCACGTTTCAGTAATGTTGTGACTGTAGTTATATTTAGGCACAAAAATCACCTGGTTATGATTAGGAAAAGATTACATTTTAGCTTATAATACCTGGTTTTGATGGCACAATCACAGCTAAATATGCATACGTCTCCCTAAAAAACACCCAAAAACAACCCGTTTTGTTGTCAGCTTATGTACACGCAATCAGACCTACGTCACATTAGAAATGGTGATATGATACATATGAAATGTACAAATGTAATGCATCAGCGGTTTGTAGAAACATACAATGCCCACATTTTCTTCTTGTGACTGGGCTGAACAGCAGTAGCCATATTGGATGTCTTAAACTTGTGAGACACAACAGACTGTTTCACAACAGATATTGTAAGATGTGCCACAAAAGTGTGACAAACTGTTTTAATCAATATTTCTACATCAACAAAATATCTACATGTTATGTGATAGCTGTCACAGAGAATCATTACTCTACTCTGCATTCGCCTTTAGCTCTGCAGTATTTCAGCTTCTTAACGGTTTTAGTTTTATGACATATTACTTTACTTTTAGGGTACATTCTCACTGCTTTCATCATGCTTGTTTCCAGCCACAGCAGGCTGCTATGTCTAGTTAATAAGTTTGGATAAGCCCAATACACACTTCCTGCCCACCAAAATAGCACATAGACAGAGTTAGCAACTAGCTGGTAGCAGTGGAGCATTTAGCTGATGAAGCATTTAGCCCTCTGGGGTTGATGGAGACCAAAACATAGCTAAAGGAAGAGTAAACATTGGACTTGAAGGTTGCCTAAAACACATTTCCAAATAATGTTAATATTTCTGTGTCTGCTGTATGTGTGAATAGGCAACTATTAGTTAACACACTTTATAAAGGTTATATGTCAATGTTGTGGTTGCAGCTTGTTGCACTGCCCCCCAGTGGCCAAATAATTCAAAAGTTAATGCTGGTTTAATGATGGCACGGTTACATTTAAGTGTCCCAGTAAACTATGTCAGAGAGCTAGCATGCACGGCACCAGGAGCCTGGAAATAAAAGGAATGAAGTCATAATAAATGTTATTAATTACACCTATGGTTTTGCGGCCTTCATAAGTCAAAAGGTCTGCTGTGAAAAAAAAGGAAAAATAAGAAAAACGATATTGCAGTAAAGTGACAACTACATGATGCGTAATGCCCAATAAAATGAACATGTTGACATGACTTCTATAAAGATTCATATACTGTTATGATGACGAATGTCCTTGTCAAACAAAGTCAAATTTTCAAATGTAGAGGTGAATGTATGTGAAAATAATTTACTGGGCTAGTTTGTCATTTCAGAACTACAAACTGTAATGTCTCATTTCCACTGCATACTTTGGCTCAACTCAATTCACTTTTGGTACCAGGCCCTTTGTTCTATTTCATTTTCCACTGCTGAGTACCCACTCAGTGTGGGCGAGATTCTCAGCTGATGACCATAGTGGCACACTTCAATGGCACTCGATGAATCCTTTCATTAAGAACCAGACAGAGGAACATCTGCACTTTCAGTTGTGTGGTGTAGTGTACAGCGTAGCACACATTGTACTTTTACGGGCTGCTGTTCTGGGTTGAGTGAATACAAAATTGCAGGCGCTATTATTATTATTATTATAGCTTGGCTATTTAAAAATGGCGGGTGTGAAGGGTGTGCCGTGTCATACTATGGATTATTCTCTCTGACCAATCAGTAGTCTGCAGTCTTTTAACTCGAGTTACAAGTACCAGGTACTATCCACAAACTTTGCTGATGGAAAACCAAAAAAGAGTGAGCTGGGTTGAGAGAACTGTGCTGTATCATGCACTCAAAATGTAGCCTAAGTGTACCAGTAAAACATTTTTTTTTTTTTTCTTGTGGCTTATCATCATTAGCGTATACATCACTAGTTATTTCAGTGAACAGCTGTGGTGGTGGGCTTGTGTCTACACTGAACAGAATCTGCAGAGATGATGCTTATGAAGGCTAACTGTGCATTCACACCAAAATATTCAAAATCGCCAGCGGTCGCTCAGGTCGCTGGCATCGTGCTGCCTGGCAGCTCTGGCAGGGCATGCAGAAGGCTGCCAAAGGGCGGGGCTTTCAAGCTGCGCTGCAGAAGACCTCATTCTTTCTTTCACTGTCCCGCCTTGAGAATATTCACGGTCTGCAATTGGCTGCTGCTCGCTGCTGCTTCGGCGGCGACGCTGCTCATTTGCATAAAGTTGAGCTTCTCTCAACTTCAGCTTGACGCTCTGGCTGCTGGCATCACGCTGCTCGCGGTCGCTCGCTGCAGCCGACGCGAGTGACGCTCTTTGTCGCGAGTGTTCATTGAAAATGAATGGCTGCTGGCTGCTTATGACGCTCATAAATCTTTTGGTGGGAACGCACACTCGTGAATTCTTGCATTTTAGTCTTCTCGAGCTATTCCAAATATGTATCAGCTTTTATCAGCCTTTTTGTGATATAAAGGCCAGCCTCCTCCTTTCCTTCCTCTTACTGCCAGCAGCAGCCCCAGTTGCTCTTTTAGCATGTAGCTATTAATATTAGCCGCAGAGTAACATTAGCTCTGATCCAGGATTCTCACTGTCATTCAACAGTTCAGTGTGTGAGCTTTTTCTGTATGTTATTCCAGGCTCACTGGCAGTCATTGACTCTAGGATAGTTTTCACTGATGTAAAGAAGCTGAGCCATCACCACTGAGTTCTTCCACAGTGTAATCCTTTGGTTCTACATAAATAGAATGGTACGTGCAGTTACTGAGAACAGTCTCAGAAAAGGAGAACATGGCAATGTGAAAATAAATAAATAAATAAATATAAACATTTTTGGTGCTCAAAATAATGCACATGAAAATAGATCATGCCTACTCAAATTACTATAAATACTAAAATACACTTACTCAAAAAACAACACTTTTGTCACATTTTC